CCTTCTACCATGCACTAAAAACAAAAAAAAAATAAGGGAAGATCATTTTGCACAGATTACACCTCATTCCTTCTCTGTATCCTCACATCTCAGCTATCAAAAAAGAGCAGGCTGATAATATCGCTACATTACTCTCTCTAATAGACGGAAAAGTTGGTGTTGTGGTATAAATTAGCAAACCCAAATTCCATTCTTTCCGCACTTGCAGAGAAAGGAATAAAGGGGAAACTCTTTTCCTGGGTAAAAGATAATTTTTCAGGAAGACGTGCTCATGTGATGTTCCAAGGCCAGCATTCAAATTTTAATGAATTTGAAAACTGAATACCACAGCCTCATTTTATTTAATCTCTGACATTTCCAGAAAATGTGCACCTTTTGGCATATGCAACTAGTAGAAATCGTGTTGCTCATGCCCATATTGCACTTGATTCAATACAGTTCCAAAAAAAGAAAAGAAAAGAAAAAAACGTTTAGAGCTAGTGCTTAAAGTAAATGGACAAAAAATAAACGCCCTGCATATTGGAAGAATGACTGTTCAACAAAAGCTATACATGGGAGAATTCATCCTAGAACGGATCACTACCCACCATTGCCTGAGTATCTACTTCAATACTGACCTTTCTGCCAAAACACAACTGAAATACCTCTTAGAGAGAACAAAGTCATGTCTAAACATCCTCCACAGATTAATATCTTCCACAGTCAATGCTGGTTTCAAAACCCTATGGCTATGCATGTGATCAGGTCATTAGACAACTACCGTGCTCCTGCCTTAATAAATCTATCATCGTAAAAGTTAATCACATTAGAGACAATATAGAACCAAGCAATGAGGATTATACTTGCAGCTCCCAGATGGACAAAACTAGCAAATGTAAAAGCAGAATCTTTACTTCCATCTCTCCATTAAAGAATTTAGCAAATCTCGACTAACCTCGTAACCAAAACGATTTCACGCACTAGACCCTCGCCAGTAAAGAGAATGACAGATGATCACACGCCTTCGAGATAGATACAACAACACACACTGGAAATGGTATAACAATCAATCTCAATGCTCTAGACCCTCGCCAGTAAACAGAATGACAGATGACTCCAAACAGAGTTCATTGTAATCTAGTTAGCAGTGAAACATGATATACAAGCTAGAGAAATAAACATCCATATATTTACTGTTTCTCAATCAGCCCTGCAAACACCAATCCAGTTGACAACATAAAGCTTGTAACAAAAATATTATTCCGGCTCCAATAACTAGAAAAAATGGGAAATGAGTAACTTTTCACTGGTTCCCCAGCCACACAAACATAGCAGATGCAGCACTAAAGAAGAGTTTAACCCACACTCTCATTTCGCGTCAAATCATCTCTAGCCTTAGCCAAGTAAAATGACATGCAAGAAGGGCATACAATTAGGGCTACAATTGGGAGACAAATTTCAGAATGCCTAAAGAATGTCCACTAATATTATAATACATGAACCATTATATTTTGGATTGAACCTGCACAAAACTAAGGCCACACCATTTACAATGCACAACAAGGAGAGACGAAGGTCATTTTGCACAAGAAGCAGCCAGATCTTTCAAGATGATGTTTGATCTCCCAAATGCCTTGCTGCCTTTACTCTCCTCCAGGATAACTAATATATCCCCAAGTGTAAAGGGATTATTTGGTGATAGTGATTGGTTATGGTGATGGTTTCACCTCGATCGATACTTCCAGTCATCGGCTGATTATTTGCGTGTGCGTTCATGGACAATCACTTAGCTCCAATCTTCTCGACTAATCATGTGAGTAAAACGGATTGTACGGTCTATTCATACTGTCTATTGAATTGGTAAAATGTATATATTAATACATGTTATAAGATCTGACAAGACAGAGTACTCACTATAATCACTCACTATAAGTACTCCTGACAGACCGAGACAATACAACGAGACCGATTGTTTTTGGATTGTTTTTGGCCAATTCATTCTACCTTATTGTCCCCTTTAGCATTTCCACAAAGGGGGCCATCAGAGTTAGGTGCTTGGATCTCTGAAGAAGAGTTTTCTTGGTTAGAGTTGCTCTCCTCATTTTTTGTTTGGTAAGTTATGTTTCGTTTAGTCGTTGTCTATGCCATAATAAGCATTCGGAGGCGAGGATAGACCAGACTCGAAGTGTTGTGATACTTTATTTCCTGAGAATAACAAGTGTGGGGAGTGGTTACATTGCTGTGGCTTACATAACAGAAAAAGGGTCGGGTATACTATCATAATTTGCGAATACCGGAACATCCCTTCTCTTTTGAAAAATATAATATTACAAAATAATTCTGAGGTAAACTGAAATAGCTTCTTAGCCTTCATTAGTTACAATACAATCATAACTCAAACTGAACTTCATTATTCTATCAAAATATATCATACTCTTTAAACATATAATTCTTTTGTAGAGGTACACTTACAATGTCATAGATTACAAAATTAAACTTCTTCAAATTACTACATGGCTTTTTAATGTAGCTCGTAGTCTTTAAATTTCACTGGTAATCTATTTCTGCTTGGCCTTAAGTTATACTTTGGCTCTTGATCCTTTACATTATCACTCATTTGGCTTTCACTTTGTGTGTTATTGTTTACTTCAGTGTCATTCCTTTCTATAATTCTAACTTGTTCTGTGACACTAGGTTGCTGTATGTCACCCTGTTTGTTTTCATCAGTTTTCTTTAAATGCACTCTATTTCTTCTCAGTACTCCTCCATTTGACTCCACTTCATAAGATCTTTCATCTAGCTTTCTATTTACAAAGCTTTTTTTCCAAGCCTTATCACCTAATATTGTTGGTTCAACACGCTCACTGTCTCCTTCTTGCAATGGTTTAAGATCTTTTGCATGTTTGTTATAATACTTAGCACTTTTCAAGCTTTTCTCCTTTTTCTTTCTGTTATGAACTTCAACATCAATTCCTTGTAGGTTTAGGAGCTTCTGAGACATAGGTAATAGTGTTCTGGTTCTTCTTCCCAAACTACGTTGAGCTGGACTAAGATTCAAATACTCAGCTGGGGTATTCCTATGATCTAATATAGGTAAAAAAGGATCTTTACCACAATCCATGGCTTTTCTGATCAATTTCTTGGCTGTTTTAACTGCTGATTCTGCCATTCCATTTGACTTCAGATAATGCGGACTACTTGTTTGATGGTTAAACTCATAACTTCTAGCAAAGTCTTTAAATTCCTCACATCTGAACTGTGGTCCATTGTCACTTACAACAATTGAAGGGATACCATATCTTGCAAAGTGAGCTTTCAACTTTTTAATTACTGAGTTAGCTGATGTTCTTTCCAGTCTATCAATCTCCCAAAAGTTACTGAAATAATCAACTGTTACAAGAAAATTATAATTCTTGAGTTCAAATAAATCTACTCCAACTTTATCCCATGGTCTGTCACTTATGTCATGAGTCATCAGAGTTTCTTTACATTGAGAATCAGTATATTTGTTACAAGTCTCACATTGGGATACATACTGTCTGACTTCAGGATTCATTCCTGGCCAATAAACACATTCCCTAGCACGTCTTAAACATCCTTCAACACCTATATGTGATAAGCGTATGGCTTCTTTGATTTCAGGTCGTAATTCTCTAGGTATAACAATTCTCTCTCCTTTGAAAATTAACCCATTCTGTACTGAATACCCATCTCTATTGTTATAGTATGGTAATAACTGACATGCGACATTCTCTTTGCTACTAGGCCATCCTTCTACAATTCTCTCTATTAGTAAATTCATTACTTCATCATCTAAAGTTGACCTTTGAATCTTTTGCAATCTTGTGGGCTGTATGGGTACAAATGATAACATGTTAATGTTTTCAAATACTTGTCCCCCTCCATTTTCTGGCAAATAATTTCTGGACAAGTAATCTGCAACATGCATATTCTTTCCTGGATGATATTCTACTTCAATATTATACTGAAATGCGCTCAATAACATTCCTTGCAATCTACGTGGTGCTCGATCAAGGGGTTTCTTCATTATAGCCTGTAAGGGCTTATGGTCACTAATGACTTTGGTTAACCTTCCAAAAGTATATTGATGGAATTTCTTTAGTGCAAAAACTACAGCTAACATTTCTTTCTCTATTTGAGCATATCTTGACTAGCATAACATAATGGTTTGCCTTCTTGCAATAAAACTGCACCAAGTCCTTTCTGACTTGCATCACATTGAACTGTTAAAGGTTTGTTTGGATCATAATATGCCAATATTGGTGTATTTGTCAATAATTCCTTAATCTCTACAAAAGCTTTTACTTGATCTGGTCCCCAATGCCATCTTACATCTTTGTTAGTTAGTCTCCGCAAGGGTTCCATTGTATCTGACAATCGATCGATTGTGATTTGCGAAGTTCTAGCTTCGCCCGGGCCATCGGCTATGGCCCGGTCCCCTATTGTATCTGACAATCTTGGCAAAAATCTAGCTAGATAATTAATCATTCCTGATAACCTCTGAATTTCTGTGACATTGGATGGTGGCTTCATATTTACTATTGACGTCACCTTGTCAGGGTCTGCTTTAATACCATCCTTTGAAATAATGTGACCTTAAAATTTTGTTTCTGAATTTCTCAAAACAGTTTTGCTCTTATTCAGAATTATTCCTATTTCTCTACACTTCTGTAACAATTTACACATGTTCATATCATGATCATTATTTGCATCTTCTTGATTATCACTAAACTAAAATGTCATCTGCAACACATAGTACTCCATTGAGACCTTCCAAAGCATTATTCAGGCGTTTCTGAAAATTCTCACTGCTTACATTGAGACCAAATGGTAATCTCACCCACCTATATCTGCCTATGGGAGTCTGGAATGTTGTTAGATAACTGGATTCTTTGTCTAGTTCGCAATGCCAATAACCATTTTTAGGTCAAATTTTGAGAATACTCTTGCCTTTGACAAATTTGGTAATACATCATCAATGATTGGTAATGGGTACAATTCTCTTTTTAGTGCTTTGTTCAATGCTTGTGGGTCAATACAAATTCTTATGTCACCACTCTTCTTAGAGCTAATTATTATTCTATTTACCCAATCAGTAGGTTCATCTACTTTAGTGATTACATTGTCTTTCTCCATTTGTTTTAACTCCTTAATTACTTTCTGCTTTATAATGACTGGTACTCTACATGAATTCACAGTAACAGGAACATGTCTTTCATCTACAGTTAAATGAATTTCACCAGGCAAAGTTCCTAATCTTTCTGAAAATACATCATCATATTTAAACAATGCTTCATCTATAGAACTAATATTCTCATAATTCACCTTGAGATCCATCTGCTCACATGCTCTCTTACCTAAAATTGGTGTGAAATCTTGCTCTACTACAATAAAGTTGACAGAATATTTCTTTCCATTACTACAATTCTTTATATCTATTCTACATTTTCCTAACGGATAAATCTTTGTAGCATTCCACATACACAAAACTGCATCTATCTTCATCAGATTTGTCTTAGGTATCAGCTTTCTTGGAATTACATTTACACTGGCACCAGAATCTAATTGAAATTGTACACTGTTAGATCCTACTTTGAACTCAGTTAATACATTTTTTTCTTTAGAACATTGCTTGATTTGCATAATATACTGCTTGTCCTCATCATCTGGTTCACTACTGTCATCTTCAGCAACATTATGGATTTTTTTCTTAGCAGCAAATTCTTTGTGCTTCACTTTTGACTTACATACCTGTGCAAAGTGATTTTCATTACCACACTTACTGCAGGTCTTGCCATACGCTGGAGTTGTTTATTTTCTTTGGTGCTTCATTCACTCTGTTTACTACTTCTCTGTTTCCTTCTTGAAATAATGACATCTGCTTCTGTGTAGCTTGGTGTGCATCACAAATCTTCATTGCATCATTGAATGAAAGGGTCTCTTCTTTGAAGAATTTCTCTCTTAGAGCTTCAAGTCTGCATCCAAATACCAGCTGATCACGCAGGTGTTCTTCTGTCTTGTCACCATATCCACAATCGTTCACCATGTTCTCGAGTTTCGTGATGAAGGTATCAATGGTCATGTCTGCCGATTGTTGGCATCTACTATATTTGTATCTTGATATTAGTGTATTCTCTCTTGGGGCAAGTTAAAAGAATTATAAACTTCTATTAATTCATCACCTCCTACCGTTAGTAATAGTGCGACTTTCTCCTCCTGTGTTCTTGTCTTGTAAACAGCTGCTAACATGTAGATGTTAAACTTCTGCTTGAAATTCTTCCAAGCTTCATCCCTATCTCCCCTCAGTACAAGTTTGGTTGGCACAGACAGTCCGCCGGTCGCCATGCCGGTCGCCATGCCGTCTCCTTGCTGCGCAGTATGACGATCTTCCAAAACTTATCTCGATTACGGCGTTCCCTCTTGTTGGCAGTAGTTATGGTTCTCTCTGCATGATTATATTACATTTTTCGCTGCCACCATGTTTCGTTTAGTCATTGTCTATGCCATAATAAGCATTTGGAGGCGAGGATAGACCAGACTCGAAGTGTTGTGATTCTTTATTTCCTGAGAATAACAAGTGTGGGGAGCGGTTACACTGCTGTGGCTTACATAACAGAAAACAGGTCGGGTATACTATCATAATTTGCGAATACCGGAACAAGGTATAGATGAGGAATAAGTTAGCGGAGTGAGCCTAGATTTCTTTTGTCAGGATGCAAGACTTTCTCTTCCAACAAGAACGAAGATAATCCTGGAAATGTCAGTCTGCAGCCTGGATACATCAACTCACAAGTTTGTAAGGAGCCCTCAGAGACTTTGAATCCAGAAATGATGGACACTACTGCAGAGGATCAGGAACCTATAGATAAACCATCACTATATCAGTGTCCACAGACATCCTATCTGTAGCTCCCCTATCCACGAGATTTGTCATTTCCAAATCAGCCAATTTCTCCACATCCATTGAAGTTCTCTTGGCACTGGAGATAGACTTATATGTTTATAATCCCCCCACCCAAGAAGAGATGGTCCTGGAAGGTTATCCACTTGGCTTTCCCATGAAATGCTTAGAAGAACACCCTCTGATAAACAGCGCCACTAGTCTAAAGGTCTGACCGTATAAGGAAGAGACAAGGCAAGTCCTTGTCACGATCATAGGAAATACACCTACTGAACTCCAATTAGACATTTTCATAACTTTTCTCGTTTTCCTTCCTATTATGTACCTCTTACCCACTGCCAATGCTATGATCATTACGTGACCATGTGCAAATCTCAGCCACGTTGCAGAGTTTGCTCAGAACATCTAACAGAGGTTTGCATTGGGAAAATTAAGAAGGGTTGAGACCTGCTGCAAAGTGCTCTAATTGTGGTCTAGAACATAGTGCTGGAATCCTATTTGTGAGGAGAGGCACAAGACACTTAAAATTCCTGAAGAACTAAAATTTCCCAAGCCACATACTGGTCATATTTTTCCAATTAAAGAACTTTATGTAGGACGTAGAATTCCTTACTTCCATCCTACAGATGGGTCTACTACTGGTAGGTAGACGTTGATTGATTGATTATTTAATATCTGCCGTGTCAACTGCTAAGGTCATTAGCGGCGAACACCTTGTTAGACTGAAATATTAAAATATTTAAAACGTTAAAAATCTATCAATAAATGTCATAAATAACAATAAATATTATATTAAAAAATCAAAGCATAAACATTATGCTATAAATGTCTAAAAACTATTGCATAAACATTATGCATAATTAAATATTAGTTTCCCTAAGGAAACTAATAAGAACTTCTATGTCAAAATCCTCCCCCAATACATTTTTCAGTGTATATTGGGGAGACAAGTACTTTCCTTTTTGGTCTGAGAATGTTGCACATCTTTCCACTACATGTGCGACCGTTAATGGCTCTTGGCACTCCTCATAGCGTGCTTCACTTTTAGCCATCATCGGTCCATGAGTCACTCTTGTGTGCCCAATTCTCAACCTTGTAAATACAACTCTTACTTGTCGGATGGGATGGATGCTGGTCACCCAACTGCCAAGGTCATCTCTAATCTCTCGCAGTTTGTTTCTAGAGGTATACCTCCATTGTTCCCTTCATTTATCACGAAGACAACTCCTGATGCTGGGTTTTAAGTCAGTGTGTGAGATTGATTGATTATTTAAAATTATCTGCCGCATCAACAGCTAAGGTCATTAGCGGCGAACACTTTGCTAGCCTGAAATATTAAAATATTTAAAACGTTAAAGAATTATCAATAAATGTCACAAATAACAATGAATATTATATAAAAAATCAAAGCTTAAACATTATGCTCTAAACGTCTAAAAACTATTGCATAAACATTATGCATAATTAAGACCTTCTATGTCACATTTCTCCCCAAATATATTTTTTAATGTATGTGGGGGAGACAAGTACCTTCGTCTTCGGTCTGAGAATGTTGCACATCTTTCCACTATCGGCCCATGAATCAGTCTTGTGTGTCCAATTCTCAGCCTTGTTATTACAACTTCTATTTGTCGGTTGGGATGGATGCTGATCACCCAACTGCCAAGGTCATCTCTAATCTCTCGTAGTTTATTTCTAGAGGTATGCCTCCATTGTTCCCTCCATTCATCACAAAGACAACTTCTGATGCTGGGTTTCAAGTCAGTGTGTGGGAGAGGAAAACGAGCATCACAAGGCTGAGCGGCAGCTGCCCTGGCCTTCTGATCAGCTCGCTCATTCCCACTGATACCAACATGTGCTGGCACCCAACACAAGGTTATCTTTTTAAGTGTTGACATCAGTGCAAGCCAATCTTGAACCTCCCTCACCACTGGATGTGATGAGTTTAAGCTCTTGATTGCTTGCAAGGCACTACAAGAGTCACAATATATTACAACAGAATGGTTTGTAAGATCTCTAATCATCTTGACTGCTGCAAGGATGGAATGTAAAAATCGAGACTGATCGAGAAAGACTGCCAGATACAGTCCTTCTGCTCACTGCTGCAAAGCCCACACCATTTTCAGATTTCGAACCATCTGTATATATTGCATATGATCCCTGGTACTTAGAAGAGTGTTGAAGAAATATCTCTCAAATCCAACTCGACTTGATTGGTCCAA